GCAGCCCCTGCGTGCGCTCAGCGCCCCCCCCCGCCCCCAACCGGAGCCCCGAGGGTCGTGCGCGGACTCTTCTACTTCCCCAACGCCAAGTGTTCCTACCCTGGACTGCCCCGGCCCTCACCATCCCCCAACCCCCCGAAACCCTGTCCACTTTGCTTCTGCCAGCGTGGCAGCCCCGACTCCTTCCCCTCTCCCGGGGTGCGCAGAGCCGAGGACCCCAAAAGGGAGACGCGGTCCGCGGGAGCGCGGCGGGGTGCACACCCGGGGGCCGCGGCGCCGACCTCCGCACAACTTCTTTCTGGGTGCTGGGACCCCCGCCCCCTCGGTTCCGCTCACTGCAGACCTCAGCGGCGGAAGGAGGCGCGACCCGAGCCGGCCTGGGAGGGACGGCTCCAGGGCAGGGGGTGTCGGGTGCGCCAGGGCGGTACCGCTTTAAATGCACTTGACTCACCTGCTCCGGCGCTGTCGCCTCCTTCCTCTGCTGACAGCTGGGGGCTTTGTTTTCTCCACCCACCCGGTCGGCCGCGCTCCGCCCCCGCTGCCGCACGTGACTCGCCGCCTGCCGCCGCCACCGCCGCCACCGCTTGGCGAGGCCACCCGAGGGAGCCCGGCCCGCGCTTCCCGGGGGAGCAGGTGCAGTTGGGGACCCCCAAGGGGAGAGTCCTGGCAGGCCCGAGGTGACCCGCCCGAGCACACTCGCTGGGGCCCTAGGAAGCCAGGCTGAATTCGTGACAGGAATGAAAGTGACAGCCAGTGAGATAAACTAAGCTGTTCGGCCCCACCTGAGAGGCAGGAGGGCGGCGCGGTTGCAGAGGGAGCTGGAAAAGGCGACGCCCCAGCCTGAACGAAGTATCTGCCACCGGGGACTTGCACGCCCACCCAAGCGCACCTGCTTTATGCTCCACGGTGTTTGTACTCATACCTGGAGCGCGACCGATCATGAGTTTTGCAAACTAGTTTTTGTCGAGAGCACTATTAATTAAACTAGGCAATTCTGAGAATAATGCGATTAACAGTTTAATATAACCACGTTTTATTGGACTTTAAAATTTGCTTGTTGACGCTGTTGATGTTTGGATTCTTTTTGGAAAATGAAGTCCAGGCTGGAGAAAGCGAACTCCTGAAGATTATTGATGTGGGCACTTGTCCATTTGGCACAGCAGCTATTTTTAATGAAATGAATTGAGAAAACGTTCTGGCTTCGAGGCCCAGCTCAGGATCTGCTGCTTCTGGAAACGGTCCCGGACCCTCGCTGATCACAAGGATCGCTGGTGTTGGAAATGGCAAGAGCTTGTCTGAATTCTTCAGTCCTCGGAGAGCACACATGTAACCCCCTGCTCTCCCCGCCCTCCCCCCCCCCGCCACTCAGGGGGAAGATTGTAACTCCCTCAGCATTCATTAAAGCGAATTTTCATAGTGGGGTGACTTAGCACAATGCTTCAAAAACTTTAGTGTGCACTTGTTGAAACCAAATTCTGATTGTGCTGGGAGTTGGGCCTGGGATTCTGCATTTGGAGGAAACTTCTAGTTTCAGTGGCAGGGCTGAGAGTGCACGCTTTGTCATTGGTCCGCCTGTTTTGGGTCCTGACTGCACTCCTTGCTAGCTGTATGACCTTAGGCAAGTTTCTTAACTTAAATGTTAAACTCACGAGCTGTATAAGAGGGATGATGCTGATTCTCAGCTCATAGGGTTGTCTTAAAGAGGAAGTGAAAAAAACCCATGTAAGGCACTTATTGTAGTGCTTGGCACCCACAGTGAGGGTTCAGAAAATGTTAACTGTTTCCCTCTAGAGATATCCTTGTAGGGACAAAGCTGGCATAATGTCCAACGTGCCTGCAGGGGGTGCAGTGTGTCAAATGAATTCAGGGTAGCCAGTTAAGAGTGACTCCGGGCCCCCCACAGTGCCTTGGCTAGGCCAGATGTGTAGGGAAGGTTGATGAATAAACCTATGACTATAATGCAGAACAAATCATATGTGTTCCAAAAATTCTTCTGTTTCTACTTTAAGTCTTGATAAATTAGTTCTGAGACATTGAATTAAAGAATCATTTTGCTTTCTATTACAGATAATGTCCAGCTCCCTGTCAGATGGGTCATCTATTTTAATATCTGAAAGAGTAAATGGATTGTGGAGGAGCGGTACATTTTTTATCCTCATTAAAAACCTTGAAATTTAAATGTAAATGAATTTATTAATGAAGCTGTGGTATTCTTAGCTCTCAAAAATGAATGGGCATTGTCATCATAGCTCTCGTTTCTTCCTTCCTTCTTTTCCTCTCTCCGTCCTCCAAATATGGCTGTTTCCTAAGACTCATTTCTTGGTTTTTTTTTTTCTGTTTTTATACTCTGCTATTTCCCTCAGACATTTTATTCATGTTTTGTCTCTATGTTCAACTTTCAAGTGTGTGGAGATTCCTTCTGAATCTATACTCACATTCTTAACCTGTTTGCAAGCCTCCTCTCTGCCTTACCATTCCTTGCCAGGCATTTCCATCGGCATTCCCACTCACTTTTATTTATTTGTTTTTCCACTTGAACTCTTTTTTTTTGTTTGTGCAAATGTGCGGAGTGCATAGGAATTTTTTTATATGATGTTATGCTTAGTGATCAAGTCAGGGTATTTAGGGTGGCCTTCACCTGAGTACAATGCATTTTTAAAAAAATTATAGTCATCCTACTCTGCTATCAAATGTTGAATTTATTCTTTGCTGTATGTTGGTATCCTTTAGCCCATTCTCTTCACCCTCTTGCCTTCCCCCACTCACCCTTCCTAGTCCTTTATCTATTTTTCCACGCTTTTACCTTCATGTGTTCAAATTTTTTAGTTCCCGCAAATAAGGGAGAACACACAATATTTGTCTTTTTGTGCCGGGTTTATTTCACTTAAGATAATGACCTCCAGTTCCATCTATGTGACTGCAAATGGCATGATTTAATCCCTACTTTTCCTGAATAGCATTCCACTGATGGACATTTAGGTTGAGTCTATATCTTTGCTGTTGTGCATGGTGGTGGAATAAACATGAAAGTGCAGGCATCCCTTTGACATGCTGATTTCATTTCCTTTGGGTAGATACTCAGATGCTGAATCAAATGGTAATTCTACTTTTACTTTTTTGAGAAATCCTCATATTGTTTTACATAGCATTTGCACTAGTTTATATTCCCACCAACAGCATAGCAGAGTTCCCTTTCCTCTGCATCCTCACCAACATCTGTTATTTTTTGTCTTTTTAATAACCATTTTGACTGGGGAAAGATTATCTCTCATTGTGCTTTTGATTTGCATTTCTCTGATGACTAGTGATGTTGAACATTTTTCATAAAATTGACTGTCTTTTTCTGAGAAATGTCTATATTTCTTGCTCACTTTTTAATGGGATTTTTTTTGTTGTTGAGTTGTTTGAGTTCCCTGTGTATGCTAGATATTAGTCCCCTGTTAGATGAATAGTTTCAATACGTTGTCTCTTCACTCTGTTGGTTATTTCTTTTGCGATGCTAAAGCTTTTTAGTTTAAGTTCCATTTGTCTATTTTTTGTTTTTGTTGCCTGTGCTTTTGAGGTCTTAGTTATAAATTATTTGCTTTGCATTTCTCTGATGATGAGTGAGGCTGAGCATGTTTTCATGTGTCTGTTGGATGCCCATATATCTTCTTTTGAGAAGTATCTATTAATATCTTTTGCCCACTTTTTAAAGGGGCTGCTTGTTTTTCTTTCGGTGCATTTGAATTCCTTGTAGATCCTAGATGTTAGGCCTTTGTCAGATAAACAGTTGGCAAATATTTTTTCCCATTCTGTGGGCTGTCTCCCTGCTCTCTTGATGGTTTCTTTTGCTTTGCAGAAGCTCATTAATTTGATGAGGTCCCATTTGTTTACTTTGTTTCTTAAGGTATTGGTCTTTAGGGTTCTGAATAGGAATTGGTTCCCAATTCCAATTGCCATAGGAGTGTCTCCTGCATTTTCTAAGATTCTTATAGTTCGCTGTTTTACATTTAGGTCTTTGATCCATTTAGAGTTAATTTTTATGTATGGTGATAGGTAGGGATCCTGTTTCAGTCTTCTGCATGTGGTCAGCCAGTTTGCCTGCACCATTTACTGAGTAGGTTCTCCTCTCCCCAGTGGTTGTCTTTATAATAAAAAATTTTTAAAAATGATTTGCTTAGACCATTGTCCAGGAGAATTTTCCCTAAATTTTCTTATAGTATTTTTATAGCTTCAGGTCTTATATTTAAATATTTAATCCATTTTGAGTTGATTTTTGTATATGGTGAGATTTAGGGATCCAGTTTTATTCTTCTGCATATGGTTATCCAATTTTCTCAGCACCATTAATTGAAGAGGGTGTCCTTTCCCCAGTTCTTGTAAGTTCTTATTGG